TAATAATAAATTATATAATATAATATATTAGATATTTTGAAATTAGCTATATTCATTAGGTACTCATATTCCAACACATTCGTTTACCATTTTTACTAATCTTAACCTTAAGAGATAATTGGTACTCTTTAAAAAAAATCGTATTCATAGGCGAATCGGACGGACATCTTCAAAATCTGCGGTATACTCATCAAAATATATCGTCTTTAATTATGTAAATACCTATTCCACCGTGGATATATTAAAATACGCAGATACGGTATGTATAATTGTATACTCTACGCCACACTCGTGTTAGAACGAAGAGTACCTACCTATATTACCTGCTAATTTAGTTTCTCGAAATCTTGAGCACGCAAATACCGAGCAATGTTAATTCCACAGTAAGGCCGGTGAAAAATCGATTTACCCTGTTCCGTTTTTACGGCATACTTCCGTATGATATAATATTTAAACATTGTTATAATATTATAGCATGGCATTACACGTTCATTCCACATACCTATTACAAAAGTTTGCTTAGATATAATAATATGTCATACTGCGATGTCGCTGTCTGCTATAATATGCAGAAGTAAATCTCCTCGAAGGTGGTCGGATGAAGTTGACGGGCGACGACAGGGGTTGATTTTTTTGAGTGTTTGCCGCACGATACTATCTACTTCAATGTCACGCGGAAAACCACAGCGTTGAGCTCGCAGTTTAATAACAACTCACCCGCATATCAGGGTACGGATTTATAATCACGACCGATCGTACCGCTGCGTATAGAAAATTATTCAAGTATATCCAACGGACGGTCGTGGTCAAAGTTCTATACGTTCATATTACATTATCATAATAGCATATATACCGGCTAATTCGTAGGTAGTGCAAGCGAGGATGAGCTGAAAGAGATAAAGTTCTCAACTTAATTATTGTGGGTGCGCAAGTTAGGGTGTAGACGGTGTAGTATTATAATTTATATAAGGCATAGCGTTATAGGAATATAGATGGAAATAAGTGCAGTATTGCTGTGAGTTAATTTTGTAAGCAAWAAACCCATGGTAAAAAGGCTGAACAATTATTGACAAACAATAAATCATTTAAACTGCTGTTAAACGAAATTTGGAAAAAAATAAAAAAGGAAAAGTCTCGAAAACCTTCGTTCTACGATGAAACATTTAACAATCGTTTTTACTCAAACTTCAGGTGGTGATCTGTGGAMTTTTTGTAGGTCTATATAGGTATTGTAATTGACTGTGATACTGTAGAATATAGTGTACAACGAGGACATCCCTTACCTGATTCAAACGATATCTCGCTGATCATCATCCATTTATTGGCGAAAAACAGTTGTAGTTTAAGGAACCTGCCGGTCCGGTGGTGAAGTTTGACCGTGACGTTTCGGGCCTCGGGCATGATGGTGTCCGCCGGGTACGTGTACGATACGGGTTCCGGGAAGAAGTGTTCGCCACCCACACTGAAATAAGCTTTGGCGTGCGAAAAAACCTAAAAAAAAAAAATGTAAAAATACAAATACATTACATTTTATAGTACGACAAGTACCTTATATATATTATCGGAAATTTGTTTACGTATGTAAGTAGGTACTTATATACCTCTACAAATAAACGCTTGTGTTATGATTTCAACAAAAGCGAGCACATTGACAGTTTTTGCACAGCAGTGCATTAGATTTGCGTATTAGCTTTTAATGGTACCAAAGTGTGACATATGTTTTAAGGAATTATATTTAAGCATTTATAATTGAGCTKTGCCACTATGTGAGAAATAAAAAAATGTTAGTGTATATAAATTGTAATATTCGTTATAGAGTATCGAGCACTGGCGGTTCACCACTTGCATATACATTTTCACACGTGCAGATTCGTATCAATTACCTATACAGATTTTATTAAATATGCCATACTATTCAAATGACGAAAATTCTAAAAAGATAGAAAAAATGATTGGTTTAAATTCGATAGATTTTAATTTTAAATACGGATATTATTTAATCATTGTGTTGATGGTTAGGAAATGACCGAAGGGGTTTCATTAATTCAATTTCTTCAATAAAATATCGACAATTTAAAATACGGGTACCTATAAGAATTTTGGGATTTTATATATTTACGGCATTAGTTTTTTTTATAATGGTAAATTTCTACGGTTATGCTTTAGTAGAGATTTTGAAGATTTTGAATAAAGTTTATAGATTAAAATCCGTCAAACCCAAGTCCCACAGTTTAGTCATATTTTGGTATGTTTTACGTGATTATTTAAACCGGAAGTAGATCCCTTAATTATTATATTCATTCGTGTATATTAAACTTGTAATCGAACTTAAAATATTGAATCGCTTGTATATATTTCTCAAAAACCAAACACAAAAAGCAAGACATCGCGTTCCAATAGAAAGCACAAGGAGTRAGTGTCTATATAGGTACTTTTGTTCGTAATGTGATGTGTCACTATGTGCACAGTGATATACAACAATGTGTAGATATAATGTAAGATATAAACATTTCTATGTATTTGTGTGTGTAAAAAATGTTCTCTAATTTTCCCAAACTTTTCGAAAAATACCTTTGAAATAAATAAACTTTTCATATACAGATTGAAATAACATGTAGTCTTGTATATACACTGTACGTTTATACGAACTGAAACTTTGCATACATATTAGGTCATCGAGTCACTCACGTTCTCACACACATTTTAAACCGTGCACGTATTATACGGCCATCTCGTTTCTTATTCGATTCGTTGTAGTCAATTTCAATAATATGCCTTACACGAAATAGAATAGAATCCATTATAAACRGTTCAGGAGGAAGAGTGGTCGAGAGGTTGACATTAAACGCAGCGGCCGTCTGTCTGTATTTTTATGTGCGCCACTGCCCAAAGCAATCGGCTATATTTTTGGAATCTCGACTTCAA